GCTTGACAGTTTCCCAGTTCGCTCCCTTATCGATCACAATATATGAAACATAATAACATTTAATTATTGGATACTTTCTAAATAATTTACTGCCATTCTGCAATACTCGATGAGTTTACCAGTTTACAAGTCCGGATGCTGGCTCATTATATCAACAATAACATAATACATATATTTATATTATTTAAAACAAGCAATATTATTTCATCCATCACTCTCATTATTTTTTAATGGTGAAAAAAGGTTGGCTGTATTTTATTTTGTTGCATTTTATAACAATTCACGCGTGCTGCCAATCTTATAGGACTGAAAATTTGAAATTCGAATCCGGCGAAATTCAAGGATACGGTCGGAACGGAGAGCGGTTGCCGAAACCGAATAAATATAAAGTGGAGTTCAACAACCCCACCACCATGGTTTTTGTCGCATGCGTTTTATTTCTTCGTTTTTTAAAAGCCACAATTATTTTCGTCTCTTTAGTTTTTATTCGGCATTACTTGGCCGAGTTACATCCGAATTTAACACGATTTATGTGTCAAAATGTTAAATGCAGTTGAAATTTTGATAGCGCTTCGTGACGTGGTAATGGTAAATGTCTATCGCGGCGCGGCCAAAAGCCGAGATTGGTGGTATCTGAGAAGAACGAGTAAAAATTGCAAAATCCTAAAAATTTCGAGCCTACCCAAAAACAATATAATTTCTCTCAGATTTTCTCGTTTATAATGCCCCCAATTAGGAGAGTTATCAGTGTTGTTTTATCTTAAAAATAATCAATGGTACATTTTGGTGAATAATTATTTGTTTCCGTAAACAATTTTACTTGGAAGGTCGTAATCGATAATCGATACTATCCGATTAAATTAATTCATTAAATTAAATCGAGAATCCACCATTCAGAGGGAAATCTTTACAACACTTAATTGAGCGGGCCTGTTCTCGTGAGCGAGATATAATCTTTGCCATTAATGATTTCAATACAGAAGGCGGGATGCAAATTTATTTAGTAACGAGACGGTAAGGCACGGGAAACGAACCCTGGTCCCTAATGAATGCGCCACCGAAATGTTAAAAAACGACTCGTCAAGGATACAACAGAGATATCTTAATTTTGTGCGAGAGTTAGGACACATCTGTTGCTTGCAAAAAATACACAAAAAATAAATAAATACAAAATATTTGATAGAAATTAGTACTTGTAATAATCAATTATGAATATCAGCATCCTATTTTTCCTATTTCTTTTTTTATACCACTGAGTAGGCAAACAAACATACGGCCCACCCGATGGTAAGCAGTTACCGTAGCCTATGAACGCCTGCAATTTCAGAGGTAATTCAAGCATGGCCGTCCATGAAGAAACCGATTTATTCCTTTTTTTAAGAACCCCATGATGTAGTCTCTTGGAATAACCTCGACAGGAAGCTCATTCTATAACCTGAGCGTTCATGGGAGGAAACATCTCTGAAACCATGCTGTATGCGACCATCTAAGCATTAAGATATGTGAACTTCCTATCGATGGCGAATTGTTTTTATCAACCGATTTTAAAAAGGTTCTCAAATCGGTTGTACTTTTTTAGTTGTAAAACAAATTTGGAAAATATTTTTTGTCTGAAAGGACATACTAACAGTTTATACTTGCTCCCATAGAAATTTTATGAAAATCGGTTCATTAGTTTAGTTTTTCGATGATGGTAGTGGATGGTGGTTATGTCACAATTGTAGACATTTTTTTTTTTTATGGGACACTATCTTTAATTTCTTCTAATTTATTAATAGTAAAATTAGTAAGAATGAAAGAAATAGTAGAAGCAGCAGTATTTTCTAACAGATACGATATTGAAATCATCAAGATTAGAGTGTATTCTTTCTTAAGAGACCAGCAATATATTTGAAATTTCTCTGATGTTACCATAGTAATTATTATCATAGTGATATGCTTTGCCCTTATATTATAATAAGAAATATAAAAAAAATACGAAAAATATCAATAATAATGTAACATTTTGACTAGTAAATTTATTAATTTGAACTAATATTTAGCTTATAGATGGATTTTTTTTTTTAAATCGCACCATTAATGCCGCTATCTCATTCGGGTCTCTTCTACCGCCAGGCTGTGCCTGCATATGTTGTTGCATGTTTTGATTTAAAAGATGGATGATAGTGAAATTACAAGGAGATTTACAAACATGTTAATTCTTCAAAATTAAAACGCATAATATATGTATATCATGGAGTTATTTTGTATTCAGTGATCTTCTTTTTGTCATGCTAAGTAGCACAAAAATGCAATGTACCATTGTAAATTTGATTAATTTTTAATTCCGTCATTCATAAACCGATTTGAATCTCTTTTTTTTTATTATCTGAAAGGATATATTTTTAAATTAATTCTTTAGAAATTTTATAAAAATTAATTCATTAGTTGAATTCTTTGTTCAGGATAACGGGTTTTAGCATGATTGAAAACGATGTTTTTTTTTTGTAAAATCAAAAACAATTATTCTAATTAACTAGAAGCTCTAACTTTTACTATTACTATATTTATTTTACCATTATACAATAAGATCATGAAACTTCAAGAAACTTCAATGTAATACCATATCTATATAGTTTTGAAACTAAAACAGCAGCTTCTTTAAAGAATGCTGTAAAATCCACCGAAAATAAAATTAAACCGAGCGACTGCTTATGGAGAAAAGACACAAAGGGCAAAGGGGGGTGTGCCGAGGGTCGGAGGGAGGGCCAAAGGACCAGTTACACAAACAAAGACTGCCGGGCATGTCCGCAAGTTGGACTGTATATCAATCTGAGCTGGTACCGTCAAGCGGCCAAAATAAACATCGAAAAAGCAACAGCAAAAAGTGACGGTAAAAAATTTCGACAGAGTCCCTTAAATTGTTGTGGGAACTGCCAATTAAAAATTGATAGATATAGAAGTTTGTATGTTTGTTCGTAACACTTTATTGCACTATTATGAAGATGGAATAACACATAGTCGAGTACATTGATATGGAGTAAGTATAACGGTGGATCCTTCGAAGGATTTTTTCCAGCTAATGTTAGAAAGTCTTTGAGATGATTTCTAAAAGCAGATGGCTTTTAATTGGAAATTTTAATGTTAATTATTCTATAATGGAATTCGTCCCCCTAAAGGCCTGAATTTTAAAATATTCTTTTCAGGAATAATACCGCCTAATTTTATGTATAGATGCGTCTTCTATTACATATATCTATTATCTGCGCTCTTTATTGTCTATATTATTTAATTCAAATAAAAGTAAAATTATTTAAATAAAAACTCGTTTAATTTGACTAAATATGAATATCGATAAATTCAAGCAAATTTGTCGATTTAATTTGTATCAAAATCAATGAGATCATAAACTGACAAAAAATTATAAAATCTTTTTACTTTAGAAACTAAAATAAGTATTACAACTGTTCCTTAACTTAAAACCGCTTTAAGAGATCTAGCATGACAAATACCTAAACATACTGGACATATTAAATTTAAGATAACCAGTGATTTGTCTTTTAAACTTCATTTGGCCTCAAATTGTATTGTTATTCAAACTTAATTCGATCCTATATTAATTTAATTATTCTATTATGATTCACACCATTCTATAACAGTTATATAATAGTGGAGATAGACTCAAGCGATAGCTCCATCTAGGATAATTTTAACCGTCTACAGAACGGCCATAACTCATCCGAGGCCGTTGAGGCGATGTTAAGAACACATAAATGCACCTTCCCAGAATTAAGCATAGACAATTCGATGTCGAAAGTAAAATGATACCGATGCATAAATATTTATGGTCACTATAAATACAGTGCGGTCAATTTCGCTCGAATGCCCACTATCTGGGGAAATTGAGACGAGCAGGGTCAATCTAGGGACACAATAGCTGCCTGTTTGAGTAACAATTCACGAAAAGTTGATTAGAATAGAGTGAACTGAAAGGTGATGTACGTAAGATAAACCAAAACAACGTTCTACTTTCAAATATTGAAAAAGGAATGTTGATATTTTGGTCAATTGAAAATGATGAATGAAAGAAGATGACTCTAATGACTGAAAATGTCGATAGAATCTGATGTAAATGTGCTGCAAAAAAGCCATATTAAATGTACTCTAAACTGTGAAATGGTATGAATAAAAAAATTGCGTAGTAATCTCAGATTTGATACGATTTCTAATTGCCAATTTAGAAGTAGTTCGCTCCCCGATACTTTTTAAATCACATAAATCATAGAATATAGCGCAAACGTTCACTCGATATTGTTTGTCGAAGTATAAGTCTGTGTGTCGTCGTAGTAGCGTTATTCAGAGGCGAGTGATGCTTTCAAGCATCAAGCATACAGCCATTTTGTAAACGTGTTGGTTTGTGTTCTATGAAGCTATCGTAACAAACAGCAATTCTGGATAATAGACGCACGATGTGAGAATATCGATTGATGAATGTACCTACTAGTGCATAAACTATGTCCTTAATATTCTTAATGTTTTAAATGTAATATTTTTCAAAAATGTTTCGATGTTTCTAACTCAATCGTTCTTACTGTTCGACAAAGCATAAATATTGGTACACACAAAGATTCTAGATTTAATACTTTTAAGTTCTCGTAATTCTTGTGGATTATTATTGAGCTTGTTGGTGGTTTAAATCCTCAATGAAATTTACTGAAATTTGATATACAATATTTGTCATAATTATAAAAAATGGATGCGAAATTGTTTTAGCAGTAATACTATACATTTTTTTTAAATAAACTTAGGTCGAAAAACGACACAAAGGCTTGAGTTTCCTATACTAATATGTATAAGTTAACACGACACCTCTATGAACTAACTTAGTATGAGAGATTCAAAACATTTTGTTATTTTTTGGTAAACTTAGCTTATTTAGGATTTTGACTTGATTCTATATGTGTAGCCAGATGGACAAACAAATTACTGAAATAATTATAAATTAAACAATCTTTCATCAGGCAAGCAACCCGTCCGGTACAGCATCGTCTCCGGAGATCCTGAACGCCGTTTCACCATCGAACCACTTTCGGGAGCAATAAAGACAGCCGCCCAGTTGGATAGAGAAGTCACTGCCTCTTATCTGCTAAACGTCAGAGCTACCACAGGAAATCCAAACAGCTATGATCAAACTCAGGTTTGTTTTATTTTTTTTTAAATCGGAATAATATAGCAGGACATAGTCCTTAAAAACATCAACGAATGATCCATCATTTGTTTGTATTCCTAAGAATTGAGACTTCAAAATCATGTGAGAAATCTTAATCAGTATTTAATATTTTTAAACCATTTTAAAAAGAAAGAGGTTTCCAATTCGCCTGTATTTTCTTGGGTGCATATCTTTGATCGATTAAATTGCATGTCATTTCATGCCAAAACCCAATGATAAGTCAATTGATTGGGGGAACACTATCGATTAGGTAATAATTGATTATTAGGAATCGATGTGTTTTTGTTTATTGCGTATTCGATTATTAGGTCTTAATCATTTTAATGCCTTAACTACCGGTTGAAATATACAGTCTTTTAACAATAACAAGGTTTTAATCTTGTTTAGTAATCTTTTTTTTTATCCTGATAGGTCCAAATTACACTAGACGATGTGAACGACAATGCACCAGAGTTCGGCACGACTTCAGTGAGGGTATCAGTCGCAGAATCAGCTGCTGTCGGCTCAGCTGTGTACGCGGCCCGAGCTACCGACAATGACAGCGGGAGAAATGGGCAAATCACGTACAGTCTGCTATCGGCTACTGGACCGCCGAATACTTTTGCTGTGAACAGTCAACATGGAATGGTCACTTTGTTGAGGTTTGTTGCATTATGTATGTATTGTTTTATTGAAAAGAAAAAACAGATTCTACCTTGATGGGACCCTTAAAAGTTGTATGGATGTTCATAAAAGAATACGGTTATATTTATTATCAAAAACATTTGTCAGAAATTGTCACTTACTAGGTTATTTTTATACGACTTAGAATGGCAAACAAGCTGACGGCCCACCTGATGGAAAGTGGTAACCGTCGCCTATAGACATGAACAGTACCATGGACATATAATACAATATTATTGACATTGAGCGGGTCTGATGGTGGAACCGGAAGATGTCTATAAATACTGATAATTTTTAATATTTTGTATTTATAAATATTATATGCTTATGCTATAGCCATCTTAAAACACCATTAAAGCCTAGTAATGATTGTCAATCCGCCTGTAAAACGTAGCAACTACTGGCGAAATCCCCCAAAAAAGAGACCTGGGTTCAACAGTGGATAGTTAAGGGCTAATACTCGTATGGGATGGTATGGTAAGTTATAGCCACAACTGCCGAAAGATTTCTAGGACACCCTGACTTGGAACATACCGCCTCGAAGGAGAACAAAAATCCAACAACCGATTCTATTAAATCCAATCAAAATAATTTGAAAACTTTAAAATGTACAGTATTTTTCTTATTACAAAAGACATAAGTTTTACAAAGAAATATATAGAGAAGATGATAATGTACTTAATAGAATCAATTTGTTCTTTAGGCCGCTGGATTATGAGAACATGGTTCGTCACACCCTGGTGATTACAGCGAGGGATGCAGGCGCGCCGTCACTCGCCACCAACCTGACGCTTTCGGTGGACGTTCAAGACGTTAACGATAACCCGCCAGTGTTTGAACACGACGCGTATACTGTTAACGTGCTGGAATCCGAACATGTCAATACGAAGGTAAAACTTTATTGGACTTAAATTTGTAAACAGAGTGCAGTTAGAATAATTAACAAATTAAAAAAATATTTTCTGTTAGTGTAACTTAATTCCTTCCCCCAAAGAAACTTCTGGTTGTATAAAAAAAATATTCTAAAAGAAGTATTTTGAATGGACTACTTCCTTTTTTCTTGTTGGTGTCTACTTAATAATCGAAGGAAGAGAAGCAGCATTCTTTTTAAAACATCACCAAAAATCTAACTGCAATTGCCAACCCGCCTGTCAAGCGTGACAACTATTGGCAAAACCCATTTTATGGTGGGAGTCCTATGTTTAGCAATGGACAGTTTATGGCTGATTTTTTTTTATACAACTTAGAATGGTAAACAAGCTAACGGCCCACCTGATGGAAAGTGGTAACCGTCGCCTATAGATATGAGCAGTACCATGAACATAACAGAGTATACTGTTTCGTCCATGATACCCCCCATGCGTTGCCATTCCTGAGGACTCAGGTGTTATTCCTCTGTACCCTGTAAATTCACGCCATATTCCATCCTTCAAATCGAAACACAGCCATGCAAACACAACTGCTTCACGGTAGAAACACGAAAGGTACCCAAGCAATCGACTTTTGTACAAAGTCTCCCTCTGGTATACGATGATGAATATACTATTTGACAGCAGAACTCATCGTATTCATATTTTTTTACATTTTTATACATATATGTTTTTCGGGAAAATATTCAGTTACTGGTTAAATTTAGTTTGTTCAGGTTATTTTTCACGATCAGTGAGTTAATTAATATCAATCTTCAATAACTTATATTAGATTAGTAAGGACAGATATACTGAAAAGTGTTACGAATGTAACAGTGGGCGCAATCTGGTTTCCATCAGATTTATTATATCCAATGATAAGTATAAATCCACAATAGTTAAACCGGATCCACAGTGGCGGTCATTTATTAATCAAATGTCGGTTAATACTTATAGGGTTGCCATCATCTAAAATTGTCAAAGCCCAGACTTCAAAAAGTGTAAGATATTTTGCAAATTTCTATCAATCTCCGGAGAGCCTGGATGAATAATTAAGACAAGAAAGTAAAAACACCTTGACTGGCTTATTTGTACATATTAAAAACAATTTTTTTTTTAAATTAAATGTCCTTAGATTACATTTCTATTATTACTATACTGTGTATGCGGTTTGTTGTAGAATTTTATTAAAATATTTCCTTCTCTTATTCTAACGTATTGTATTAATAATAAAAATATCCAATTAATTAGTTTTATATATGATATAAAAAAAAACTAAAGTCAGAAAATTTTTACTATATTTTTATTAAATACAGCGGGCAAATGAGAACGCTGCTCATCTGATGATACTGTGAACGCCTATAAGCACTCATAGCACCGCAAAAATTGCTAGTGTGCTGTAATTGCATAAATCCTGTAATACTTGGACATGGTGGCAGCCCTAGTTCATACAAATAATATTGATAACCATCAAACGTGATTGTCAATTGTCGATAATTGTTTCTGTACATGACGTATCTGAGTTGAGATCGTTTCGTCCTATATCATTGGATGTGTGTAAAAAAAGTGTTATCAATTAAATTAATTGATTGTAATAAAAATTTAAGTAAAGCAAACAATGTGTAGTTTTTATCAGTATTAAGTTTGTAATAGTTATTTACATATTTTTTGTAAACTCAACTTTTGTTTAAAAGATAACCAACAGCCGAGTTCATTGCCCGTTCTTCTCAGCTGATATTGCATTATGAAGTGGCCAATAGATTCATTAAAAAAATACTAATCCTAAATCTTTATAATTGAATTTACTTGAAAATATATATATATATATATATATATATATATATATATATATATATATATATATATATATATATATATATATATATATATATATATATATATATATATATATATATATATATATATAACATTAAAATCTATTATAATATGTGATATATATATATATATATATATATATATATATATATATATATATATATATATATATATATATATATATATATATATATATATATATATATATATATATATATATATATATATATATATATATATATATATTTATCTCATAATATTTGTAAGATAGTAGAATTAATACTGACTAAAGGAAAGACTAATTCTAACGCCCTAATATTGATTATTATACCTTCAAATATTTCTTTACAGGTTTTAGAAATCCAAGCTGTAGATAAAGATACAGGGAACAACGCTCGTATCACGTATCGTATAGTATCAGAGAACAGTACAGCAAATGAGGAATATTTTAAAGTACAACCTACTACAGGATGGGTGTATTTGGCAAAACCACTTGATAGAGAAACTATATCTAAACATAAAATGGTTATAACAGCCACGGACAATGGTATTCCACCGTTGTCTGCGACAGCTGTCCTTGTAGCTAATATTGTAGATGCAAATGATAATGATCCTGTCTTCTCTAAGCCACGGTATGAGTTTCAAGTGGAAGAGAACCAAAAAGGTGGAGCCTTCGTTGGCAAGATCACTGCAACTGATGCGGATTTAGGAGAGAATTCGATTATAAGATACAGCTTATTTCCATCGAATACAAGTTTCGTCATTAATCCTACTACAGGTAAGATTTTTTTTCAAATACGTAATACTTTCAATTAAAAAGGTATTTTAGTAAAACCTTTAATAATATTTAGTAAACGCGCGTCAAGTATTTTGACAATTTATCTTTTTACTTATAAATAATAAAGTAACATTACTGGCGGCTGTTAAATTGCAATGGTTTATTTCCAATCTATTTCAGTTCTTAACTACGTAAATAAATTATAATTTACAAGTCAGCCATTGCGTGTCATTGTTTAAAATAGTGCTGTAACGCCCTTTTAAAGTAGTCGGTAATAAGTTAGCCAACATTAGAATAATGCGATTTTACCGTAATGCCAACAGGCGGGTCTCTATTTGATCAAGTAAGGAATTATTCCCCGGCCACCCGGCCACTCGTCTCTTTGTTTATCCTGCCGGCGCTTTGAAAGCTAAAACCCAAAGTGTGTTGTGCTTTAAGACTCATCGACTGGGCAAACAATTTGGATAAACAAACCTACTTTAATATCACAATTTAAAGGAATAGGGAGCAAACTCGAGTACGTTTATTTTTGACCTTCCCATAGATACATGGATCGCAATTTTTAGTATTATATTTGCATTACTCACTCCGTAGCAAACAGCCATCTGTTTAGAGATTTATTTAGAAAAATATACATATTTTTAAATTCTTTATTAAATATAACTGATTCGATATCGTATCATCTAGGTATATATCGATATTTATCATACGGTCGTGCGAGTTTTGTAAATTCTCAATATGGGCGTTCGCAAAAAAGGGGGTGGCACTTCGTTATCGCATGGTAACTGACTGATGAATGGTCGATCTTTCTGTCTCAATTCGGTTTATCGGAAATCGGCACCCTGCGAGCTAGTTAGCGAATCTGTACTTCTCCTTTAGTTTCGAGGCGAAATACGTAAATCATTCGAAATGACGTCTGTATATGGTGGCGATCTTCCGATAGAGGGCTCAGTTTTGATCAGGTGGTAATACAATGTTCTCGGTCGAAAGAAATGTGAACATAATATCCGTAAACGGGTTATTCGTCGGCGCATCAAACATTTGGGAAACGTAGGTATTGTGTTTATCGGAAACCGAATAATTTTCAAAGTTATTACACACTCTTGTAATCTCGATCGCAACGATATCCAATGCGCATACTTGTATAACTTGATTCGCTTCATCTGGTCTTTAATTTCTCCGATCAGAGTCTTCGCATAAGTGCTTATTTCCGCTATAGTCTGAGTGGCTTTAATTTAAAATTATTATCTTGATTATTAATCAATCCTTTATGGCAATTTTTATCCCAAAGGTCACACTACTAGTCCGACCAGATAACCGCTACGGGAGGCAGGCTCAAATGAATTTATGCGCGTCAATTGCAAGTTATAAACGTCGTCGCGCGCGCATACACCGTGACCCGCCATTAACTATTATTAAAATATTGCTATGTAGGAGCCTGGCTATTCTCTTCCATGTTTTATTACAAGCCTTACCCCGGCCAGATACTGTCGTCGAGTATTTAAAGCTCATACGTTACAAATGTACGTGTAGGACGTTCCGCGGACCTACAACTCGTTTGGTTGACGGATACCTTTTATTTTCATCTGTTCTCAAATGAATTATAGGTGTAAAATGTGGCTGGTATTCGACTCGGCACCGTGTGACTATAAATTGTAATAATGATAACTAGTAACGTATTGTTTGAGAAACAAAAAGACCATTGCAATTACGAAAGATACATAAAGTTGTCGCTTTTTGTAAATTTTAATTTGATTTTACTAAACATCTAAATGAAATACGTTCCTATAACGTCGTCAACAAAACTCAGTCTTGTGAGGGGAGAAAATAACGATGAACAGTTTTTTTCCAGAGCTCGCTTCACATCGCTCATTACGGCGGCCTCTGCCACATCTTATTATCTTCCGACAAGTTTCGCTTATTTTTCGCTAATACCCACTTTAGTATTATTGTCTCAGAGTTCATTTTGTTATAGAGGATTGTTATAAAATTACGTTTATCGTCCTTCCCCGTTTCTGTCATCACGATTTTTAGGTTCCCAATACGGAATGAAACCTTGGATAATCATAGGTATTCTGCCGCAGGCGATCTCTTTTATGAATCCCTAATTTCGGGTTTGAACTTTATGATAATCGTTTTGAAATTGACAAAATTCTTACGCGACTTATTGGACGAATTATTATCGGAAAATTTGTTTAGGACGTGGTTAAAATTTTTATTATATTTTGATAAAACCTAATGAATTTGAAAGTATTATTTGTCCAATGTATGTAATTCTGATAATTAAATTATTAATATAATGCTTTTGTGTTTTATATAATCAATTCATTTGAAATATTTGTTCTTAACAGGTGTTTTATCTACGAAAGATGTTCTAGACCGTGAACATAAATCGTCGTATTCACTGTTTGCGGAAGCAAAAGACCAAGGCAGTCTCCCAAGATCTAGTCGAGTACCGGTATCAATTAAAATTACAGATGTCAATGATAACTCACCAGAAATAATTGATCCTAGAGAAGATGTTGTTAGTGTCCGAGAAGAACAGCAGCCTGGTGCAGAAGTAGCTAGAGTAAAAGCTGTAGACAGAGATAATGGTATAAATTCTTCTGTAACATATTCCATCTTAAATGATAGGGACATGGACGGTTATGGAGTATTTGTCATTGACTCGTATACTGGAGTTATTAAAACTAGTACAGGTAAATATTATTGACTATAAAGTAATGCCAATTATTTTATTTATGTTTATTTTTATATGTTTTACGAACTCAATTTGTGATTTTAGTTCTTGATCATGAAGAAAGGTCTATATACCGATTAACTGTTGCGGCGACTGATGGTGGAACTCCTCCAAGGCAAACAGTGAGACAGCTTAAAGTTGAAGTACTAGACCTTAATGACAATAGACCTACATTTACAAGCTCAAGTCTCACGTTTAAAGTAAGTATATTAGCAAATAACAATTATATTTATATAATATGTCAAAATAAGAAAAATATTAAATAAAATTATTTCATTATTTAGGTAAAAGAAGATGCTAGAATTGGTCATATAGTGGGTACAGTCGCCTGCTGTGATAGCGATGTTCAAGATAACCTAATAAATAGTGATGAAGAGAAACAGATATCCTACTTATTGATGCCTTTAACAACAGATCATTCACCTGGAACTTTTGAAATAGACAGACGTACTGGTTCTTTAGTAGTTGCAAGACAACTAGATAGAGAAATTCAAGAAGAATATAGATTAGAAGTTCGAGCGCTGGATACATCAGCAACTAACAATCCTCAGAGTAGTGCTGTAACTGTGAAAATAGAAATTGTGGATGTAAATGATAACGCTCCCCAATGGCCTCAAGATCCCATAAATATAGAAATATCCGAAATTACTCCTATGGGTATGAACGTCTACAATTTCACAGCAAAAGATGCTGATAATGGTGCCAATGGAGAGTTAAATTTTCATATAGTTTCATCTTTACCCTCCACAAAGAATGTTTTTAATCTGGATCCTTTAACAGGGTCTCTAACGCTTACTTCAAATCTAGATTTTGAGACATTGAAAGAATATTGGATAGTTATCGAGGCAACTGACTTGGCTTCTAATATTTCTGAAAGAATGGCGACATCAGCAACAGTTCACATATCAGTGACAGATGCAAATGACAATGTACCAACTTTTGTATCGGCAAATAAAGTCTCGGTTTCCCTCAATACTTTAACTGGCACATTATATCAAGCATTAGCAATAGACGCTGACTCTGGTGATAATGGTAGAATATCATATTACATTTCTAGTGGTAATGACCACGCGTATTTTTCAATGGAATATGACGTTGGAAAACTAACTTTGTCGAAGAAGTATTCGACAGATATTAATAGAGTACGTCCTGGTCAGTATATACTGAATTTGACTGCTTCAGATCATGGAATACCATTTCCGAGGCAAAGTCACATGACACTAACATTAAATCTACAAGAGTCAACTAATGTGCCCCCTAGATTTACTGAGCCTTTATACAGAGCTAACATAAGTGAAGACATTCGACCAGGAAGTTTCGTAACGAGGCTATTGGCAAAATCTTCTAGAGGAAATACTGGTAAATATAAATATTCCCAAATACTATTTATACGCAAGTGAAATAATATTAATATTCATTTTAATTAAAGGTTATTGTTGACGTTTATTTTATTAAAAATTACGTTATTAAAATAATTTTATTTCAATATTTTTGTCTTAGTCTAGTAATGAGGTCAGTAAAGATGTCATTTATTATATCTGTATATTTTAATAATGACTAACTTCATTGTTCCAGGAAACTTGACTTACATGATACCATCTGGAGTAGCTGACGATAAATTTACAATAGATGAACGCCTCGGCACTGTTACGGTAAAATCTAAAATAGACAGGGAACAAAAAGACCATTATACATTTCCAGTCTACGTGACAGATTCTAGTACATTCCAATCAACTACCAATTTCGACGTCACAACTGTAACTATCAGCATTACAGACGTGAATGATAACCCACCGAGTTTCAAAATAGGGTCTTGTTATCCACTGGCGGTTCCAGAAAATAACGAGCCAGAAGTTATTCATACTGTAGTAGCAACCGATATGGATATAGGAGCAAACGGCGTTATTACTTATAGTATAATATCTGGGAATAACGGGAACAAGTTTTCAATCGATTCTACGACAGGAAAGCTCACCGCTAAAACATTAGACCGTGAAACGCAGGCGAAATATCATTTGACAATAACGGCTTTTGATCACGGCTCACCAATCGCTTTACAAGGATCTTGTAATATTACTGTGATGGTTGAAGATCAGAATGATAATGATCCAGTATTTGATACGGGTCATTATTCAGCAACGATACCAGAAAATGCCCCTATCGACACCTCAGTAATAAAAGTGAGAGCAACCGACGCCGATTTGGGATTCAATAAGCGTATCGTTTATTCATTGGCAAACGAGAGTCAAGGACTGTTTAGAATCGATAATAAAACTGGAATAATTTTTACTACTGGGTAAGTCTTATTTGTTAATATAATTAGATTTAAAATTGTGGTTTTATGATAATTACATATTATTATTTTATTCATATGTTAAAAAAATCATTATAATGTAGTTAAGTAGTATAAAAGAATTAGCTAATTCCAATATTAATTAAAGACTATTTAAAATATCTTTAAACAAATCTCTCTATTTTGACTTCCATTAGGTACTACGATTAGGTATTTTTTTATATAATAACAAAAATATTCAAATGATTTGAAGATGTAGAGTTACGAGTTTTTTTTTTGTATGTATTGAATTATATATTACACAATATATTATACTATATACTTGTATCAAAAAGTGTACGTTGGTATTAAACAAATTTTATATTATATTTTAATAGAGCAAAATCTTAAATATATACAGTACATACATATATAAATTTTAATTTACTGTAGGTATCATCAAATAATTTATTTTTCTTTTTAGGTCATTTGATAGAGAAAAAACGAATGTTTATCATTTTGAAGCTGTTGCTACCGATCAAGGTCGCTACGTCACTCGATCTCAAAGGGTTTCAGTCGAAGTTACAATCGATGATGTTAATGACAATAAGCCGGTGTTCACGAAGTATCCATTCAAGGAACAAGTAGCTACATTAACACAACCAGGACAAATTCTTCTCCGCGTGACAGCTACTGATTATGATATAGGAACCAATGCGGAAGTGCTTTATGAACTTTTGGATTCATCCAATCATAAATTCCGCATCAACCCCACGACGGGGGTACTTACAGCGACACAAAGTCTCGCCAGTGAAAATGGAAGACTAATTCATTTGAAAGTCATGGCCAAAGATAAAGGCAACCCGCCCCAGAGCTCCATTGGACTTATCGAAATCAGAGTCGGAAATTTTTCCGATCAAACGCCCACTTTAAATTTCCAAAACGCCACGTACAATGTCAGTATTGAGGAAAATATGCAGTACGGCAAACATGTGCTTCACGTCACAGCGGTCCGTAGCGACGGTCGTCGGCAGAGAATCTTTTATGAAATCGGCAATGGAAATGATCAATACGCTTTTGAAATCGACTCTAACACGGGCGTAATAAGGGTGAACAATTCGGCGAATTTGGATTATGAATCGTATCCGGGCCCTAAGCGGCAACTCGTTGTGGTCGCGCGAACAGAAGGCTCGCCGGTCTTATACGGTTATTGCGACGTAATAATAAATCTGCTCGACCAAAACGACCATGCTCCCAGATTTACACAACAGCAGTACATAGCGAACGTTCTAGAGGGCAACGCTAAGGGCGAGTTTGTCGTGCAGCTGGCAGCTAAGGACAGCGACCGCGGCGTGAACGCACGGATTCTGTACCACATAGTCGACGGGAACCACGATAACGCGTTCGTCATTGAACCGGCTTTCTCGGGATCGGTTAAAACGAATATAGTGTTGGATCGCGAGATAAGGGAGACCTACAAATTGACGGTTATTGCTACTGACGAAGGCAATCCACAGATGACTGGCACAGCTACTCTAAGGATCAATGTAGTAGACGTTAACGATAACCAGCCCACATTCCCGCCACCGAACCACATCTCGGTATCAGAAGGTAAGTTTTCAAGTTTTTACACTGGTTTACGTATTCGGTTTTAAATTGCTGTAGCACGGCCTATCGACTTTTCGAAATAAATTGGTAGGACAAAAAGCAACTCACAAAGAGGGGAGGCATTTTACATAATTTGTATTCCCGACTTCGGGACGGTTTACATCGCGACTTTTCGATTCCAACGCTGAGATTAAATAAAAGCGACTCCTTTGGATCAATATTTATTGGACGGTATTACATTTTTTCCGAGTGCATGTTTTAGCGGTGCCTCCCCAACTGTCCGCGCTCTTCCTCTCTCTTTTTTCTTTTGTTTTTGTATCATTGTACGTCGACATTGGTTTTGTTTTAGAGTATTTTATTTTGCCGATCGTTAAAACGGCAGTCAAACGAGTAGTAGTAGTTTTATGTATTTGTTTTGTTTTTCACAGGAACGGAAATCGGGACTGTTCTTACATCTGTCACGGCGAATGACGTGGACACATATCCTCCACTAAAGTACTCGATATTACAGGGAGACAATATGTTTTCTATAGACCGATTCAGCGGCAAGGTTGTCCTTAATAAGCCATTGGATTTCGAAGCGAAAAAGTTGTATCAGGTCAACATAACTGCTTCAGATAGCGAGCACGTCGCAAAAACTACACTCACAATAAAAGTGACAGACGTAAATGATAATGCACCTGTATTTGATGAAATCTCTTACAATAGAATATTACCTGGTGAGTAAATATTTTTTTTGTCACGTGGCCCAGGCATGGAATAAGCCACACTTTTTTCCCCGAAGTTACCGATGAGGTGGCCAAGGGAACTTAATAGTCGAATGATAAGCAGCGGCGTCCTTCATAATATATAAGTAAAGGCTAACTGCAGTTGCTTATCCGCCTGCCAAGGGTGGCGACTACTGATAAAAACTCTCTTATATATGTTCAACACCAGACAATTAACGGCTGATATGATGAAGTAAATTATTTATTACAAATGTCATATTTTAATTGGATTTGTTTGTTTTATTTTAGTTCATTAATTAGGCTTAAATTGTTACTTAGTAGATGTATGTCAATTATGGTAATTGAATTTAAATATTCATCAAGTTATATATAGCAATCTGATATTATAATAAATATAAATACTAATTAATTTCGGCTCAGCGTGTAAGGCGTTAATTATCAATATTCATTGCTTTCACGCTTATTTAAAAACATTATTATGATGTGATTACCATTATACCTATTAGTATATGAAATTTTAATACGCATTAATGACCAAAAAGTGTGTCGCTTTACATAAGCGATGCACGTAGTTAAAAAAAATTAAATAGAATGTTAGGAAATAAACTTCACTGATAGTCTGAAGACCTTCTAGTTTTTTCCATATTTATTAATTAATTCTTAACACTCAACTTGGCCCGTATGTATTTCCCGATTTGTTGATTCGTTAAAGAGATAACAAATAAATGAACTCACTTTCACATTTATAATATTAGTACAGGGAAATAGCTCTATCTGTTAGTCCCCAGAATATACATTTAAATCTAGTTTCTCATAAGACAAAGTAGCCTAATTATAAGGATTACTCTAACACACAAATCAGTGTAACCCCATGTGGAGTGGAAATAATATAGCTAGCATATAATTTATACATATTAAGCGTAGATATATATTATAACTAGCAACTGTATTAAGCATATGATTTACGATTCCGTATACACAGTATTGGTTAATTAAACTATTGCGTTAGACATCTTCCAATTCTCTGGTAATTGTATCATTAAATCTTTATTTTTTTAATTAGTATTAATTTGCATTTCAGAAGGCACAGGTACCCTAGAAATAGGGTCAGTCAGCGCGAAGGATAAGGATAGTGGTGAAAATGGCAAGATAACCTATTCGATTCTTCGGCCAACTAACGGCTACTACATAGATGCGACATCTGGTGTCATTTTCGTCAACTACAGCACTCTGCCTTCTAGTCAAAGAGACACGCAGTTGGCTATAGTGGCTACAGATTATGGAAAGCCCAACAAGAGTTCTGTGGCTGCAATCAGAATCAGTACTGGTGCTTCTTCGGAAATAAAACCATTTATTGGACAAGATACATATAGGTTAGTACAATTTTACTATATTAAAACACTATGGACAATTGTGACTGTACAAAAATTGTCAGCAGGGATAGCTCTCTCTCTTTCTCTTACGTGTTTCTACCATGAAGCGGTAATTCGGTTTGAAGGACCCACCCTTTTCCTATCCCAACATGACAGTAAAATTACAGGATACAATGGCATAACATCTTAGTTCTCAGGAATAGTAGTGCACGATGCTCACGATGCACACTTTCCATCAAGTGGACCGTCAACTTGTTTGCTATTCTGAGTGTCATAAAGAATATATTAGAGTACTAAAGACTATAATAATTTACACAATGGAAAAAGTCGTTTGTATATCGTTGTACTGCTCGTGTTCCTAGTTTCAAGTAGCTGTATGTTTGTAAGAGGGAATGTGGAAAGGTATGGAGGCAAACTTAGTTCTCAGGAATGGCAATGCACGAGGCATCATAGGCGTCACAGTATACTTATACTGTTTCGATTCCGGAAATTACTTAAAAATAAAATCTATATTAAATTATAATCTAAATTGTTCTTAGAAAATTCTTAACGCATTTACAATGATTAGGTACGCTAGAAATGTCAGTCTCAATTTAAATAAAGATGTTTGTCATATTGCCAACGCTGTGTCGCATGTAACAGTCAGTAACGTGACTTTAACTCTATTCCACGTGACTAAAGATAGGCTATGATCTATATAGTACTAAATTTTATTCAAATTCGTTCAAATTTTATTTATAATGTTAGTAATATTAGCAAAAATACTACATATTTATAATAAGCGCTTTATTTTAAACGATCTGTAATCGATACAATTAATTACTATTAAGACTGTTGCAAACACATACTCCCCACTCATACACACTAATCATAGAAACACTTCCTTATATGTTAAATTTAATTGAAAAATTATTTTATTACTTTCAGGATCACAGTCAATGAAGATACAGAAAAAGGCTCGTCACTTCTACAAATAGGCGGTATCAATGATGTTTTGAAGAAATACAACTTAGATTTTCATGTAATATCTGGTAATGAAGGAAATACATTCGATGTCAATTCAGAAGGAGCACTAATACTTATTAATAAATTGGACAGAGAATCTCAGGATTCTTACACCCTAGGTTTGGCTGCAGTAGAGCAAGGGAAAATATTTTTTAACAATCAAAATAAAACATCTGTAACAGTTTTCGTCACAGTCACAGATTCAAATGATAACGCACCAGTTTTTTCTACAAATGATTTTGAATTGACTGTTAGTGAAGATGTCAAAATAGGATATACCTTAACTCAATTATCTGCAACAGACGGCGATTTATATGGAACACTAAATTCAGCTGTGGTTTATAATATTACATCAGGAGATGATGAGAATAACTTTTATATTCATCCTACTACAGGGGTCTTGACTGTTAATAAGTCACTTGATTACGACATTGGAAAAACTGTGTATAAACTTATTGTAGTAGCTTGTGATCAAGGAATGCCATCTCTATGTAATGCGGCTTATATAAAAGTAGATATTATCGATGAAAATGATAATATGCCAACATTTCCTGTTAATGAATATTTTGAGACTATTGGAGAGAATGAAAGAGTTGGTACTTCTGTGTTTACAGCAAGAGCAACAGATTTAGATAAAGGAAGATACGGGAAACTTAACTATTCGATTGTACCTGCATCTACTAATTACAATAGAAATGACGATTCATGGAAAATGTTTCAAATTGATTCGTCATCTGGTTTAGTAAATACTAATGCAGTTTTTGATTATGAGCAAAAGAATAAATATGAATTTACTATAAGAGCTTCAGACTTAGGTGGCAAAAGTTCTACTGTCAAAGTAAGAATAGATGTAGAAAGTAGAGATGAGTTTTATCCACAATTTACACAAAAGACGTATAATTTTGGTATTCCAAAATCAGGCCCATTGCCTGCAGGCTATGTTATAGGACAAGCGACTGCTACTGACAGAGATAAAGGAATAGATGGCCGAATAGTATATCAACTTTCAACGTCTCATTCTTTCTTCAGAATCAATAGGACAACTGGTGTCATAATTTTAAAGAAAAAAGTAGAATCCGTATCAAGTCTTTTTAGATCTGATAAATCTATAAGCCTAGTCGTAACGGCTAGTTCTGGAAGACAAGGTTCACTGACAAATAAGACTGCAGTAGAAATTCTACTAGACCCTCTTGCTGTTGTATCAGACAGTAATCAATTAAATGATACAACTGCTGCTTCAAGTGGAGGACTATCAGATTGGGCCTTGGGATTGTTAATTGCATTCATATTTATTATAATAATATTTGCTGCAGCATTTTTATTCCTGCATATGAAGAACAAAAGACACAAAAAAGTGAATAAACCAGGCTTAAGTTCTGAAGGAGTTGGTGCGGCCAATAGTTACGTAGATCCAAGCGCTTTTGATACAATCCCAATTAGAAATACAGGTACTGTGTCAGGAAATCAGTTTGCACCCCCAAAATATGATGAAATTCCTCCATATGGCCCTCATACAGCTAGTTCTAATTCTGGAGCAGCAACCACTTCAGAACTGTCAGGGTCCGATCAATCCGGTTCTAGTGGTCGAGGTTCTGCCGAAGATGGTGAAGATGGCGAGGACGAAGAAATTAGAATGATAAATGAGGGTCCTCTCCAAAGAGACTCGGGAATGCATAGGCAACCAAACGGAGTTGACGACGATAATCTTTCTGATGTCTCAGTTCATAATACTCAAGAATATTTAGCTAGGTTAGGAATAGTCGATACAGGTACTGGTGGAGGGGCTTCAACCTCTTCAAGAAGATGTTCAGAAAATGTAGGAAATAAGGATACAATGCTACATCACGGAACTATAGACTCGATGCATATGTTTGATGAAGATGGTGGGCATGAAAATGATATAACAAATCTTATATATGCAAAATTAAATGAAGTAACAGGTAGTGAAAGAGCCAGTAGTGCTGACGAAGCTAGCGCTGCTGTAGACAGAGCTATGGCATTGGGAGCATTTCCTAGTACACCTGGTGACAATACAGCGGTACCGACGGCTGGACCGTCAATGACTGGTAGTCTTAGTTCTATAGTCCATTCTGAAGAAGAGCTTACGGGTAGTTATAATTGGGATTATCTTCTTGATTGGGGACCTCAATATCAGCCATTAGCTCATGTATTCTCTGAAATAGCTCGTTTAAAAGATGATGCAGTTTCACTCCAAAGCGTTAACAGTGGCGCGTCTAGTGCTAAGAGTAAAGGTACATCAATATCAGGTGGAAAAAGTGTTCCACCACCGCTGTTAACCACAGTAGCTCCTAGAAGCTGCCCAGCTCCTTCTTTATCTTGTAGACAACCTCAGCATTTATTACCTAGGTCCCCTATAAGTCATGACGTACCTGGTGGCTTCTCAGCTGCTGCCGCTATGTCTCCATCCTTCTCCCCTTCACTATCACCTTTAGCAACAAGATCTCCGTCTATGTCGCCTCTAGTAGGCCCAGGTCTTCCACCAGCTCCCGCTAGTAGAAAACCTCCACATTCCACAATGAGGATATGAAAATTATTGTATCGTTTCCTAGGATTTTGTACATACTTTAATTACTATTTGCTCGTAATTATTGGTAGTATTATTTATTGATTACCGATGTGATCGGTCTAATTTCTTTTTTTTTTATCTCATTTTGTGCATTAATATACGACTGTCATAAATGTGCTCAAAGTGATTTATTAAGCGCTTATTACCGGTTTTTACGGTAAATGTATATAAAACTTTATTCGGGTTAACTCTATTGTAAATATTAGTATGTATACTTATTAGTGCCTTGTACAATTTAAAACGAAGACTGCCATGATATTATAATTATAAAACAAACAGCTTTATTTAAGCTATAAGGATATGCAATTTTTAATATAGGCTTTATTGAGAACGATGTATTTTTATAAAATACATTTGCAAATTTGAAAAAAGAATTTTGTATTTTATATAACTTTTTGTGCCTTTTGTATTGATTTCTAGAAAATCATTTATGTAAAGACCTAATAATGTACTGTGATTTTCGTATAAGTATCGAAAATGGCGGAGAATTTATTCAGAATTATTTAGCAATAATAATGTTGTTAGTTTTACTGGAACGTTGAATAATTCTGAATGGATACTTGATGTATATAATGTTTATATAATTATCTTTAAGTCCAGATTGTCAGTGGAGTGTATAAACATGAATAAAAATGTTTAAAAATTATTTATTGTTTTATTATATATGTTGTATTTAACGTGTGTATGTATGTGTGTATATGTATGTGTATATATATGTGTGTGTGTATGTATGTATGTATATATATGTATGTATGTGTGTGTGTATATATATGTATATATATAATTATTTATAATTTATATAAATATTTATTTAAATTTCTGTCTTGCACTACTACTGCCCACTCACTACTTCCTATGCCACTGTGTTAGGTTGACTGGAAGAAATCTCTTTTAGAGATAAGTTCGCCTTTGCTAACATTGTTATTAACTTATTGTTGTTACTGTATGTTTTAGTGCAATAAAGAATATATATATATTTATTACTGACAATACTGGAAATTAAATTATTACAAAGTGATTATATCACAGTTGAAACCTGTCTATTGCATCACATAAAGTGATCCATAAACTGCATAATTGTAGCAATAATATAAAATAAAATTCAATACTGCAAGAATCAATATAAAAAATTGAACCTGAGTTTAGATATATCCTTCGCTTTTTAGGAATATTGAGTTAGCGTTAACTGCTAGTAGTGTTCTGGGTGACAATCTTTAATATCGCAGATAAAAAGATATTAGTATCTTAAATAAATCCCATCATACAAAATGGTTTAAAATGGACGAGATAGATTATATGGTAATTTCATTTCAAATAAGTGAGAAATCATCAAAATAATGTTAGTAATCATTCCAAATTTGACATTTTGGATTCAGAAATCAGTTCTTTAGATAAATAAAAAGAATTCTAGTTTGATGAATGTCCAATCCTTTAACAGGTTATTGTGCTTGGTAATATTTATTACTAATTATATTCACTACTCTTACTTATTCAAATTTTTATTTCTATGCATGTAAACTTAAAAACAGGTATTTTTATTTTTTGATAGATTCATATCACGTAAAAAACACGACTTATTTTTAAAATATTTATAAGAATTCAGAAACGTTTAGGTTTTTAATTTTTATACCTTTTTGCAGTTTCAGAACAATCTAATTGTAGTACAAATGTTAGTCTTAAACATACATTTAAAATTACTTGATTAATCTGATTTTATTTAGAAAATATATTCTTAAATTTATTAAGGTTATTAATAAACATAGCTCCATTGATAGATACCATCAAGAGATTTTTTTCTTAATGTTATCCCCTAACATACCAGTATCATCCGCTACCAACAAGAACTTTACCATTATAAGAATTTGTTTTTATGCAACTTAGAATGGAAAACAAATTGACGACGCACTGATGGAAAGTGGTAACCGTCGCCTATAGACATGAGCAGTACCATGGGCATAACAGAGTATACTGTTTCGCCCATAATACTCAACATGCATTGGCATTCTTGAAGACTAAGGTGTTATACCTCTGTACTCTGTAAACTCACAGCCACATTCCACTCTTCAAACCGAAACACAGCCATGCAAACACAACTGCCTAACGGTAGAAACACGAATGGGACAGAGGTGCACAAGCAAACGACTTTTGTACAAAGTCTCCCTCTAGTAAATGTTATACAAATAATACAACTTAAACATGTCATTTTGTATTGGTGTTAGTATATTCTCAACAATAATTGCTAACTGGAACATTTTTTTTTTCTCTTTAAAATGTCATCAAAACATCGTAATTCAATCACAAATGCTTATAATTACTATTTGCTTAAAGCTAAAAACTACATTTATACTTGAATTATCAAAGGTGTGTAGTTAACATCGTTCTTATATTTATTAGTGAACACTTAATTAGATCATACTAAGTACCTATATGTCCATACAACAGCTGGATGAAGTCTCATACATTTCATCGAATATATAAAATGAATAATAATGAAAATAATCATACAATTTATAAAATTATACATATATATATATAAGTGTAGGCATGTTTTGTAACGTTAAAAATATGCCATTTGGTTAATAATGATAAATTGATACAATAATATTGAATTAGATAAAAGGATTTATACATTAATTAGACAGAGAATTTATTTAGTGTTTTTTTTTTTATAATATAAGGGGTTAATATTTAGTACCTCACTTAATTAACAATATTAAGTCGTGTAAGCACAATAATACCTACTACTTCAGTGCTTGTAAATTAATAATTTTGAAACTAAATCCAAAAGAAGTTTATACAAAATAACAATGGTGTCGATTCAAAAGCAACATGCTCTAAGACTAAAAGAGATTAAGGCTGGGTATTATCTATCAATACTCGTATCTATATATCGCAGCTACAGTAACTAAACATATACTGGCTCAATAACAGATATATAAGATATTGTTTATACAATATATAATATCGAATTGAAGAACCCGTTCGTAACGAATATAGATTTTTTTTATACCACTGAGGTGGCAAACAAGCACACGGCCCACCTAATGGTAAGTGGTTACCGTAGCCTACGAACACCTGCATTACCAGAGGTATTACGTGCGCGAACGCAATTTTGAAGAACCCCATGCTGTAGTCTCTTGGGAAAACCTCGGCAGGGAGCTCATTCCACAACCTGAGTGTTCATGAGAGAAAACGTCTCTGAAACCGCGCAGTACGTGACCACTGAGGCTGTAGGACATGAGGAGAACAGGAACTCCCTGTCGATGATGTAGATATTTAACTGATGCAGGCGATATCGCAATGGGTGGACATCAATATCCAGAAGAACTTAATATATATATATATATATATCGGATATATAGATAATACTCATCTCTAAAACAGATATTGCAGTAAACTATTACTCTAAAGACTAATATAAACTTAATTACTTATTCATAAACACGTCAAACTCTCATAGACCTATTTTAGCTATTGAAATGTTTTGTCTTTCTCTTTTGTGAAAAACTTTTAACTTAAAAGAAAGCAACAAAATACTTCTATAGCTAAAATAGGATTGTAAGAGATGTTTGTTTTTATGAATCCCTTATTTAGTTGGTGAATTTACAACTGGCTAATAATTGAACCAGAATTACTTTAGATTTAGTAAATGACAAATCCATAACAAAGTAGTTTAGTTAAGCTATCAAATTAAAATTTTAGATTCAGGAATAGAAGCTTTAGAAAATATTGCTTTAGAATCGACACAAAGTAAGTTTTATTGGTCGAACCAAAAACTATAAGATAAGTTTATATAATAGATTATTGTCTATTAACTATATACAGGCATTAATTTTATGTAAAATATTGTAAAACTATATACAGGCATTATTTTTTTGTTAAAATATTGTAAAATATACAAATTGATAATATACACAATATATTAATAAATATTGGAATTTATAAAAACATAATCACAAAGAACTTACCTCCTTATTCATAAAAACTAAAACCTGCTACAAATCTATTTAAACAATTGTTTTTTTCATGCAACTTAGAATGGCAAACAAGCTGACAGCCCACCTGATGGAAAGTGGTAACCGTCGCCTATAGACATGAGCAGTACCATGGACATAACAGAGTATACTGTTTCGCCCATGATACCCCCCATGCGTTGCCATTCCTGAGGACTCAGGTGTTATTCCTCTGTACCCAGTAAATTCACGCCATATCCCACCCTTCAAACCGAAACACAGCCATGCAAACACAACTGCTTCACGGTAGAAACACGATAGGGACAGAGGTGCCCAAGCAAACGACTTTTGTATAGTCTCCCTCTGGTTTTAGAATTATTTTGTTTAATTCCGCTACCGTTAGTATGTGTGTGACTGCCAACACTGGAAGATTGACCATTACTATTGCAAATTAAAAAAAAAAGAAATTATTTTAACTATTACATTATTTTGTACTTTTTTTTTTGAAACCCAGAATTTAGCATAAGAGAAAAAGCTAAAACACCAATAGTTAAAGTAGGGTGGGAAAGGGATATTTAGCAATGGAATTTGACAGCCCCATTGCTAGCAATATCAGGCCTATCAGGTCAACTTCCACGTGGTTCCCCCTGGAAACCATCGTGAACAATTCTCGTTGAATTCGTCACGATGGGCTAACTGACCTGCTTCATCCTCACCTATCATCCTTCACTGGTGCCCCGCCGTTGTATACCGATAGTGCGGGTGGGGTTACTATTTCATTATCACCTATAAAGAAATATCTAAAATAGGTTTATGAAGTGTTTAAAGTTTTTACGAATAAGGGCTTTTAGGTACAAATTATAACCAGAAGAAGAACCACTGATATTTTTACACAAGCAAATCGTTCGGACAGTGATTATTAGTGTCAAATATTTTATGTTCTAATAAGGCTTTTAATGTGATATTAAAATTTAAGAAAACAAAAACCTTGAAGTCATTTACGCGATACTTTCTGTAGTTATTTTGAAGTAATATAGCACCTATGATCCGGTATTTTCTACATATATATATGTATACACAAATAATATAGTATTTATACATAAAATCCTGAAAATTTTACTCGTTTAATAACAGTCATGTGGGTAGAGTTCATACAAATTATAACAGGTCGAATCACGTTTCTTTATTATATATACATTTTGAAAAATTTGGATTGGAACGTGTGAAAGATAATATGGCCAAAATGGGAGTGAATGTGGAAATGATTGCGAATAGAGAAGAACGGAAAAGAAAAACATATTACGCCGATACCAAATAATAATCTGGATAAGGATTGAAGAAGTACCTATATTTTTATTCATTTCATTTGAATCGAACCATTTGACGTTCTATTGTTCCTGCCTACTCTAATAGGAGACAGGTGTCGTACAGATACGTAGGTATGTACTTTTATTCACAAATATGGACTTTATATTTAAACTTGACAAATAAATCACGTGATAAACTAGTAGATACTGATAATAATAATGACTGTATCTATCCAATTAAACTTTGCAGTCAGGCATACAGCCCGCCTGATGGTAAGCAGTTACTGTAACCTAAGAACGCTTGCAACACGCGCGACCTGTAAATGCATTTAATGTTTTTGTTAGCAATCGTAAAAGGGGAAGTTTTTTAATTCACCTGCTTTTCTGTGTATCTGTTACGAGATATCTTCAGCTAATCCGGAATCAATATTAAACATTATTTTTAGGTAATAAGCAGAATTTGGGAAGTAAAATCTTATATTTTTTAATTAGATAGCCAATCAGTATTATTATTATGGAAAGAGAGGCTTTTTTCAGGCAGAAAAGCCTGCGACAATACAAAAGATTACGGAAAGCATGACGATTTGTGCTCGCCATTTTTTCAAAATTTTGCTACTAATTCCTTACGCTATCTGTAGATGAGAATGAATTGATAAATAAAAATAATCATATAATATCGATAATAACGGGAAAGTGGCAAAATTTAAAGCTGTTAATACTCATTTACATAACAATATAATGATTTGATAATAAAATCCTGTACAATATATATAATACAGTAATTTTTTTTACTTAACAATGCAAAGAACAAAATGTATTGTCAGATATTTATTGTGACAAATTATGAAAGAGTACAAATATTGTAATAATATCTATACTGTGTATATTTATTTTTTTCTCTACATTTTTGTTAATTCAATTTGAAAAAAAAAAGTTATTTATTTCAGTAGTAGGGATGAATATATCACAATATTATCAAAATGTAATTTTTAAAACTACCCACATATGTATATTAAAGCAATAACTTTACGTAAATGATTATGGCTCTCCTTAAAATTAAGTGCCTTTATAATAACTAAGTCACCTTTGGTATAACTATCATTATTACGTAGTGATTACTCGCTCAGTGGACAGCACTACTGTTCCGTGTTATTGTTAATTAACTTATCACTATGCAGAAGGTATAATATAAACTAAGGTACAGCTCGATTCTATTAAAATGTATTTATTCACAACATTACTATTGATAATTCAATTTTAGAACTTTTATTATTTTTATTTAGAGAAATAACTATGTATTATACTTAGTTATTTGTCTACTTTTTTTTTAATGAGTAAATTGACATTTTTAAAACTTTCATTACTAGGTACTCGTTTTAATATTAATAATAAAAGGTGGTAAAAAAGGATAAACGGTTGAACGGTCAAATTCCGCAAATTTGTATATTAAATAGTCAATAAAACTTATAAAGTCGCAGAATTACTTTTTTCAATACATTGAGCAATACATGGATATAACGTTATAGCTGCTAATAGCTATAAGTTGTAACCGGCGATAACTAGCTATCGCCGGTTTCACTCAGGTACCTGCACAGAATTACATCATAATCGTCATTCCACCTATTAACTGTCAAGTGGTGAACAAAGAATTATCTACAAAGACAAATCTATTAGGAAACATATTAAACAAACTGACCAAGAGCATCTTACTGGTATAAATTGTAAATAAACAATATCTTTACATAGGAACTATTTAAAGAAAATTATAAGCAGTTATCTTAATAAGAACATTTTTTTTTATACAACTTAGAATGGAAAACAAGCTGACGGTCCACCTGATGAAAAGTGGTAACCGTCGCCTATAGACATGAGCAGTACCATGGACATAACAGAGTATACTGTTTCGCCCATGATACCCCCCATGCGTTGCCATTCCTCAGGTGTTAGGTGTACTCACAATACTCAGGTGTTATTTCTCTGTACCCTGTAAATTCGCGCCATATCTCATCCTTCAAACCGAAACACAGCCATGCAAACACAACTGCTTCACGGTTGAAACACGAATGGGACAGAGGTACCCAAGCAATCGACTTTTGTACAAATTCTCCCTCTCCTCAATTGAAGCCAATACAAAAATTTTTAGAATATTTGTTGGTCTGTCTGTGTTTGTATGTTTGTTCCACTATCATGCAAATACAACTGCATTAAATTGAATATAGTTTTCATGATTATATTTCTGGTGTAATTTGTATCACGATACACCATCTAGGAGTGGTAATCTATTTCCAAAGTCCACATGTACGAAGTTGAGTGCAAAAGTTAGTTTATACTTTGTCAGTTTATAAATGAACATTAGAATAAAATAAGTCGTAATATTTGCAATATTGGAATTGCGAACTAAAGACACTTACTTGATAGAAGCACAGTATAAAGAAACTTCTTACACTGTGACAGAAGTGATAATTATTGGCTATAAACAAGAACAACGCCAAAGGTTTCATAGAATACAATAGCTTATGGTGCTCCTCATGGAATACCATTCACCATGACTAAGGTGTTTTGTATCCTTACCCTGTAAAGATCATTGACATTGTATTGTAATATACTTGTTACATTACATTATTGTTTATTCTTTTTTTCTATTTGTTCACTTGTAACATATTTGTTCCATTACACGACCATGCTCTCGGTCAGGACCCACCTTTATTACACATCGTTATGTAGTGTAGCAAAATAAAAAATAAAAATTGTATAAAATTATTTTAGGACGGGCAACAATGGACAAGTTGCCGGACTCGTGTTTCTTTTACAGTCACTCGATCAATCTGCTAAGACCCTCACACCGGAACCTTCGCGTAATATGAATACTGCTCTTAATGTACTAATTGTTTAAAACTAAATCCTATTAGAGTTACAATGGTTCTGGTGCATATCGATGATGACCTCATCACATATAGTCTGCTTCACCACACCGATGTCTACCTCTTTGTTAGGTGTTGGAGTCAAGCAATTGACAGCTGGGTCCTGCAAATAATATTTTCTTTGTATATTCTGAACATAAACAATCGACTAATCAGACATGACATCGTCGTTCGTGATACTCCTCATGTATTGTTATTCCTGAGGACTAAGGTGTTATGCCTTAGTAATTTCACTGCTATATCTTACTCTTCACACCGAAACACAGCTACTGGGGGGAAGGGATTGTTAGCAATGGATACTAAGAGCCCTATTGCTAGCAATATACTCAACCAGGTCGACCACCTTGTGACTACCCCTGGAAACCACCGTGCTGAATTCTAAGTGTATTCATCACGATGGGCTAAATGACCTGCCTTTTTTCATCTATTATCCCTCATTGGTGCCCCATCAAGGTATACCGTTCCATTCCATTCTCATTCATTAAAAAAACAACTAGTTTAAGACAGAATTAAGAATGATAGAGGTACACAAGCAAACGACTTCTGTACAAAGTCTCCCTCTAGTGAATTCTATTAAAACAGATTATACTTACAGCTGAAACAGCATCGCAAGCCATCAACTCGTTTTTAGAGAGATGCTCGACAACGGCAGCTGCATAGCAATCGCCCAACATATTGTTCGTTGTACGTATTCGGTCTCTGAAATCGAAAATGGAAATATGTAGATAGCAAACTTACTGTCCCCTGCTGAAAAAAAGCCTCTCCCCTTAGGGAGTTTTGTCACGCTTTGCAAGGGGATTGGCAATCGCAGTTAGGATTTGGAGATATTTTAAGAGAGATGCTGCTGCCCATCCCTCGCCCTCCTTAGTCGCCTCTTACGACACCCACGGGAAAGGAATGTTTGCCCCATTCTATACCGGGGCACACACCTTATTTATTTACTCGTTTAATTCGTTTGTGTTTTTTAATGTTTCTAATCTCATAACTTCGTCAACTGTAAACCAATTTGAAAAGTTTTTTTTTTAACAACTTAGAATGGCAAACAAGCTGACGGACCACCTGATGGGAGTACCATGGACATAACAGAGTATACTATTTCGCCCATGATACCCCCCATGCGTTGCCATTCCTGAGGACTCAGGTGTTATTCCTCTATACCTTGTAAATTCACGCCATATCCCACCCTTCAAACTGAAACACAGCCATGCAAACACAATTATTTTACGGTTGAAACACGAATAGGACAGAGGTACCCAAGCAATCGACTTTTGTACAAAGTCTCCCTCTGGTTCTTTGTTTATCTGAAAGTATATATTTATAGATTGGTCCCATAGATTTTTTTTTAAATTGGTTTAGTAGTTTATAGATAATTGGTTCTGTCCCAATTAAAGTTGGTGTTCTGTGGTACACAATCTTTAATTATATAACTAGTCTCATAATCATTATTATAAGCATACACTACTTCGGACGGAGACTTAATTTTTCCTCCAAATAGTACACGATCTAATCAAAATAGATAAGCGGACACAAATTTTATTAATGATACGCTATGGAATAATTTGTCTAGGATCTATCGTTTTATCTATTTGTGACGTAGATTAGTAACATGTTTTCCATTACGGTTCAGTCTAAAGGTGAAAAGATCACGAGTGTAATCTCTAATACAAAAAAATACACGCATCCTGTTTTGTTAATAATATAATATTTTCGTTACTACCTATTAGTATCGGTGAGCCAATAATCTATTGTTTTGACTTAACACGCAATAGAAAACTACTGATAAGTAGTTTTACTTTTTTTTTTTATAAAAAGTTTATAGAATAAATATAGATAGTGAGAAGCATTTGTCGACTATTGTTATTATAAGGAACTTAACACTTTATACGCCCACCTTTCCTCAAATATATTAAAAGTTACAGTCTATTTCCATAAAATTTATTCAAATAAAAATTGAAATTTTTACAGAAGCACTATCTATCTATCTATTTAAGAGCTGCGCTCTTGTCGGTGGAGCTCTTGCCACTCACTACGATATTCAGCGAGTCTCTTCACCTCTTGATACGACACGACACCAAGTCCTTCCTTAATCTGCCTGATGTAACTATGTCTCGGTCTCCCTCTCCCCTTCTTCCTTCTATCTTACCTTCTATTATAATGTTCATAAGTTCGTCGTGTCGTATCAAGTGTCTCAACATTTTTCCCCAGAAGCACTATCTAAATAAAATTTGTAACAAATTTTCAAATTTTTATTTCTATTGAACTACTGTTGAACATCAATAGATTGTCGTTGAGCCAATTATTGATTTATGCACATTCTCTGAATTTCTGCTTACCGTTAAAATTATATACGAAACGAGCCTACTGCCATCATTCGGATTAATATAATTTGATATCAGTTTTTTCCATTACCATATAAAATTTTAATGATCCCAGATTTTAATGTTCTATCTAGCTATCAAACACACAAGCAAAATAATTTTCACGACGAAATAACAAGTTGATGAGGAAATCACAGGGTCAATGAATGGTTAATATAATAATGAAATAACTTAATACTCACACTAGCCAATCGACAGCAAATAACAGAGATACATCATGTGTGGGAGCATCTACAGCTGCCAACACTACAAGTAGTAACACCATAGCGGCTGACGGCACAGATGCTGATGATACTGACGCCGCTGTCGATGTTAAGCTGGAAAATAATGATGTTTCATTAATAATAGAAGGGATTCATTAAAAAGCAAAAGCAAAAATTAACATGCTTACAACTATAATATCTAATTCAGTTAAAGATATTTTGTCGTATATTGTTACTGTAATGTATGTAATACTTGATATACCAACATCTTAGATTATATAGATTATCATCATCTTCCTATCCTTATCCTAATCATTTGGGGTCGGCGTAATATGATTTTATCCATATTACAAAAACATATAGTTTTTAATTTTACTACCGACCACCTGCCTGACGTTAACCCTCATTGGGAACACATTTGTTGGTGGTTTCCGCTACCTACGGTATGGAGGAAAGGATTGAGGAAAAAAGGAAGGAAACGTTGGAAATGCGTAAAGGAAATTGGTGAATGAGAGGAAGAAGGGACTTATGTGGGAAAGAAAGAGGGGGGTACTACAGTTGCGGAAAGGCATTAAAAAGATACAATAATGATAAGACAAAATAAATATATAAATTATAAAGGAATCACTCATAACTATTTATCACGCAAAGCTGTATGAAAAAGTTGACCCGTTTTTCTCGAAGCATTCTATGGAGACTATCTATATAATCTAAAACCTACATTAGGTCGAGCTTATTAAGATTAAATGTAAAGTAAAAATAAGTAACAATCGAACGATAAATTGTTTCTTACCAGTAGAAACAATTATCAGTCATTTATTGCATTGTTACAATAAATTACTGACAAACGCAGTATAGGACGACGCCCACTAGAAAAGTGACGACCTCAAATGCATTGCCGGGAATCAGTGGATGCGACTTACGACTTGTCTTTATGTTAGTCTATGGAGGAGGCTTACGTTCAATAGTGGACAGATAATGGTTGGGATGATAATAATGATGAATAAATGACTATCAACGGATATGTATGGATGCAAGAAAGTGATTTCTATTGAAAAAATATTAGTACAATGATTAGCTTAAAATGTTTAACAGAAGAATAATATATAAATAAATAATAAAATTTCGCTATTGTTAGAATACTCATATTGAAGTAATATAGTTAATAGAAGTCTAAATATATAAATAATTTAAGTAATATTAGGGATAATAGGATTGTTTTTAACGAAAAATAAAAAAAAAATAAAAAGTAAGTTCATCTTAAGTCATTTTAACTACAGACAAGAGTGAAAAAGGAAATATTAATTAATATTCTTACAAATGTAATTTCAGAGACATCGATAATAATAGCAGATAATATGATTTCATTGATAAATAAATTACTCACAATATTGTTGCTAGTTGTGCAAAGCCCAAGTGTATACTATTCATCTGGCATACAAAAATACTGGCTACAGACAGAAACAAGGCTGTGCCATCCATATTGATGTTGCAACCTATTGGAAGAACAAATCGAGTGATGCGTGGGTCGATCCGGAGAGGACCTTCCATACTTCTGAAGGTCACTGGAAGGGCTGCGGCTCTGAAAAGTTACAATAATAACTTCATCATCATTGATAAATACTCTTTATCATTTCCTCTGAAAGATTACTGTAGTAAACTTATCATAAATACAAACAATTATAATAATTAATTATCATACTGAATTACTACTTCGTCTATTGCTACTTCTTGTAAATTACAAAGATAAAAAAAATATTATGAAGAAAGGTGGATTTGTGTCTTAAAAAGATCTCAAAATTGAACCGAACCTTTTTCGAAGAGTACAATTAAAATTTAAAAGAATAACATCAGAAATGAACTTAGGAATTAGATAAGAGGTAATCAAAGGAAAGTAATGTTCATATTTTCCACTACGCAATTTAGATAATGACTTTTAAAATTTAATTTATCTATAATTTTCCATGATCAATCACTCAAAGCTATCGTTATAATCACTCTAAGCTTCATATAAATAATATGAAGTCGAAGTTATTTACATATACAATACATTTTCCATTTTTATGTTAACTGCATATATAAAATGTACACTTTTCTACTAAATAGTAAAATAACGAAATTAGATTTAAAAATTGACCATGGAAAAACTAAACTAAAAAGAGAATAAGCAGCAAAATGCACGTTAAGGTAAAGTGGCAGTTATTCGAATATTACAGAACAATAAAGAACGAAATATTAACTATACTTAAAATGAAGTGTAAGATGCAACTGATTCAAAAATTTATTTAATATATATATTCGAAAATATAAAATCTAATAAACGTTTGTAATTAAAAATTTCTGTAAAGATAGATACAAACACTTACGTAGAAGCAGTGGCAGACGCAGTCAACATGGCTTGTGTGAGCCCCAAATAGAACTTATACGGATTCTTCTTGAGAAATGCAAAATATATAAGCTGCATCACGATCAGTTGATAGAAAAACACACCGACGGCGACTGTAGCTATAAACCATGCCAGTTGCGACATTACTGTAGCTGAAATGATAAAGATATTTGTAAATTTTTGAGTTTCTCGGTGTTAAAAGAGAATTTGCGTTCTTTAGTTACTTGGATGTTGAAATCACTAGTTATATGTAATATAAACATATAACTTTATGTTACTTCTGGTAATCCAGAGGCGGATTTTATGCAAAAGCCATTTGCATCTGCGCACTTCTAATTTATTTGTTTCTTCTACAATGTAGTTGTGCTTGTATGTGTGTATTTCGGTTTGGAAAGTAAGATATGGCAATAAAATTACAGAACATCGAGTAAGTAATTTTTGTGAGGTCCATGTTACTAGCTCGTTGGTTACCACTTATCCTCGGGTGGATTGTTTGTTTTTGGTAACATTTAAAAGTTAATTTAGAAATGAGCATGTATTACAGAAAATATCTTAAAAACGATAGTAGTTAAAGTTTTATTTGTAATAATTTTAATTAATGTTACAAATTGTAATCTTACCAACATTGCTAACACCAAGAATCTTGCCAGCTATAACACTGCTAACTCCGAATGGTGTAAACCACATCACACCCGTCACCATCTTCATTATCACCTCGAATATTGCCTGGAAGAAGTCTATCACCACCTGTCCTTTAGGCCCAAGGGTGCCCAGAAGACTTCCAAAAACTAGGCAGAAAAATACTAAGCCAAGAGTGTTAGTACCAGATCTGAAATTTTCAAAACAAAATAGTAACAGTCTTATAAAATATTTGGGGTATTACTGAGGCAGAGACCTTTGAAAAGTTCATGAGTACCATTGTATTACCCCATGGAAGTTAGAATTGATGAATTATGGAATCGTAACTAACTTAGTCAAAGTTCTCGTTCAGCCTTCTTTAATAACTGTCATTTAGTTATAAAAATTGGCACCAACAACTTTGGCTTTGTATCACCTATGTGTTTTAAAAGTTAACATTTACGAATAATTTCTAAATGCTTCTTTTTTAATCTGTTACATCAAACACAGATTTAAATATTATTAATACAATAATATTGCTAAAATATTAATTTTAATATGTTATAATTCATTATTGTTATAATTTGTTATTATTTATGGTATATGCCGTATTGGCATTACTTTTCTGTAATTTTATGTGTTCCTAGTACTAGGTCTTCAAATTACAAACATAAGACACTCTGCATGATTTAATACACTTGTATTGTTGTGGTATTTATTTCGCTACGTAGTACGTAGAATCTGCAATGAAGACATCGCAGGTAAATGGTTCTACTGCCATATCTCCCTCATTTCGAACTCTGGGAGGAAATGACCATAATAGCCCAAAGAATAAGTCGTCTCAAGCATTAAAGAACCAGCAATAATGTGAAAAACCCAAAACAGAAAATTTCCTCTTGTCGGTACAAATAATTCATGCAATTTCTTTTAACCAATTCTATTTTAGGCCATATCTTTGACCTCCCTATACGACATGATACCTAGTGTGTCCTTTATCAGTTTCATATAGTTATTTCTGGGTCTACACTGTAAAGAGTGACAACCTCCAATGTTTTCTAAGGAGTCGATAATTTAGAATTGTTCTTATTGAAGTCTATGGTTAAACTCTATGTTCCGTAATGGGCATGATGATAAAAAAATATAGACTATTTGTTTTTGAAGTAAAATTAGAATTGTTTTAGAACTCAAAATTTATGAATCTGCTTGGCAACTCATTAATTCTATCCGAGGTAATCGTTAATGAATAACAATGATATCTAATTATGTGAAGTATCAAATATTATTGTTTGATATCGTGTAAATTGTATACTAACCTATAGGATACAACTCTTACCAAGTTAGGCAGAGTATCATTTTCAGAGAAATTCCTGGCAAACAACGTTGGCGGTTCAGTGTACACTGTATGGGCTTGTTGGAATGCAGCCTGGACGATATTATCTGGAAATATATTCCTGAAAACAAAATTGATAATGAAAAATTAATAACTACGTTTACTTCTTAGATTATATAGATAGAGTGTCTCCATAGAAATTTTTCGAGGAAAATGGATCAACTTTTTCATACAAATTACGTGATAAATAGTTATGAGTGATTTCTTCGTAACTCCTATATTTATTTTGTCTTATAATTTCTGCATCTTTTTAATGTGTAAAAACTCATTTTATTTATTAAATAATACATTTTATGCATATAAGTATTGAACACTGATAAAAAAATGAGTCGGCTAATTTGACAATTAGCTGACAAAAAGTTGACCCAATATTGAGGCTCGATGCACTATCTATATAATCTAAGGTTTACGTATTGACATAAAAAATAATAGAGAACTATAATTTTTGATGATATATTTTTACAGCGTAATTTCCTTTTTCATAAAAACGTCAAACATTTCATAAACCTATTAAAGCTACTGAACTATTTTGTCTCATTTTTTTGTACTAAATTCTCAGTTTGAATGACAGTGACAAAATAGTGTTTTAGGTGGTTTTAGTTTTTATGAATAACGAGGTAAAAGCCTTTATTGCGTTTAATCACGTTATTTTTGAGCAAATCAATAAACTATGACTCAAAAATGTTTTAAGTGATCCTAAGTTCGAAAGCGGTAAAGCTATTGTTACAATAGAATATGAAACTATTATAACTATCAATTTTTAAATGTTCGATCAATTTTCAGTAATCGAAACATTTTTAACAAAACTCATTAACCGTTAGCATGAAAAGGTAAAATATAAAGTCTAAACTACGAATACTGACGACTAACTAACTAACTATACGCCTACGCCCCTGGCATTAGGCGTGCGTTGCCGACTCTGAAGAAACCTCTTTTTCTTTTTTTGAAAAACTCTATGCTGTATTCTCTTGGAAAAATCTCGACAGAGAGCTCATTCTATAATCTCAGTGTTCGTGGATTCGTGTTTCAAGATATTCCAGTTCAAAATTTTTTTTTTTATACATCTTAGAATGGCAAACAAGCTGACGGCCTACCTGATGAAAAGTGGTAACCGTCGCCTACAGATATGAGCAGTACCATGGACATAACGGAGTATACTGTTTCGCCCATGATACCCCTCCATGCGTTGCCATTCCTGAGGACTCAAGTGTTATTCCTCTGTACCCTGTAAATTCACGCCATATCCTACCATTCAAACCGAAACACAGTCACGCAAACACAACTGCTTCACGGTTGAAACACGAATGAGACAGTGGTACCCAAGCAATCGACTTTTGTACAAAGTCTCCCTCTGGTTATTTAATTCTTGATTAATATAAAAAACAACACTATTTGCCATATAGATGACTAGGGCTATATCTAATCCTAAACTTTGATTCTAATTCTAATATTTGTTTGTGTTAGCTAGATTGGGGTACATCGGCTACTTACATCTCGTAATAAGATCCCTTTCTATATTAAATTCGGCTCTTTCTCAACTTACCTTCCAATATCAAGTATGCTATCCAATATCTTGTGGTCTCTTTTATTTTCAACTAAAGCATGGTGATCATCTCTTAACTCTGGCTGTCCAGGATGTACCATCATAGCTAGCAATATTCCAAGGAATGCATTGAACATGGAAGTAAGTATAAAGTACAGAAGTGTCCGTATAGCGATCTTTCCGCTCATCTTGGCGTTGAGGCTTGCTGATCCAGCAATCAGACTGGCGATGATTAGAGGCAGGATCATTAACTTCAACAATCTCATGAAGAGTTCTCCAGGATACGAGATTATAATGAGCGCATCAGGGCCGAGGTGGTAAGGGCGAAGGCCGAATCCTGAAATTTATTTTTTATGAATTAGAATAAGGATTACTGCTAGTACATAAGTATAGACAGTGGATAGGCACTGGAAGAACAGACTCGTGTACCAATAATATGCATTATACACATTCCTATTTTATAATTTTATTAATATATTATTTTCATCATCATCATTATCATATCAGCCATTAATTGTTCATTGCTAAACATAGGATCATTAACCCCCATTATGGGGATAAGGGGGGTTTGGCAGTAGTTGCCACGCTTGTCAGGCAGGTTGGCTTTTGGTAAAGCTGCTTGCTAATTCCTTGATTATTGAATTCCTTTAGTCACCTTACGACACTCACGGGAAAGGAAAGATTGGTCCATTCTACTTCTGATTTATTTTGTTACTTACAATTTTCTATACTTATCAGTACATACTTGTATTTCTCTATGAGTAGTCAACGCACTATTACTATCTAACCCACCCAAAATTTTTGAATTAAACAATTTATTTTACAGAAAATTGCAGGGTACAGTTTGAATTCGAGTACGCATTCTGTCTAATAATGAAACAATTCGTTTGCGCCGTATCGCATAAAAGTCGTCAATGCGTACTGGCGTAAACATCAGTGACGTAATACAGGGGCGAAGCAACCCCAGCAGTGATTTGAAGTTATTATAGTATTTTAGCTGTAAAGAAATGTCTACTGCTTTACGGTTGAAATAAACAAGATATATTGTTGTTTTTTTTTTATATATTTTAAAATATATAAGTGTAGTAGAATGGGCCATCACTTCCTTTCCAGTGGGTGTCGTGAGTGGCGACTAAGGTAATTTAATGATCGAAAGGAGAGCAGCAGCGTCTCTCTTCTAACATTACCAAAGCCTAACTGCAATTGGCAACGTGTCTACCAAGCATGGCAACTACTGGAAAATCCCTATCTCATGGAAGAGGCCTATGTTCACGAGTGGACAGTAAACGGCTGGGCCCCTTTAATACGTTAAAACCATATTGCGACTAGCTAGCTATTATTTAGCAATATTATAAAAATTAAAAAAAAAAAACAATCAATTGGACTATCACAATACGAGTGGTTTAATTTTTTTCGTTAACAAACACAAAGGGACAGTAAGTAGCATGTGACCAAAACTCCGCTTAAGATGTGACTCATTCACAACGTCCAGTATTTTAATTGAACAATTACTAAAGTTAATTGATATATCATTCGTATGTTACAATGTATCAATTGATAAGCAAAATGTTTCGCAACATGACATCTTTCATTACTATTAAATAATAAATAAATAACAATATTGCCATGTAGTCCCGGCATAGATTAGGCCACTCCTTCCTTTCCCGTGAGTGTCATAAGAGGCGACTGAAGGAGGGCGAGGGATAGGCAGCAGCGTCCCTTTTAAAACATCACCAAAAGCAAAACTGCGGTTACCAACCCGCCTGCCAAACGTGGCAACTACTGGTAAAACCCTCCTTATGGGAGAAGCTATATTCAAGATAGAGGGAGAAGATACAAGATAACACCAAATCTAAACTTAGGTATAAAAAGATTTGATTAATCAAACCTCTGTATCGACATGTAGTCAATCAAGACTTATATAATTCCCGATGAGGAAGTTGGACTCATTTCAAATTTTATAATTTTTTAAAATAATTAGTAAATAGTTGACCATCACCACTAAGTAAGAACTTAGAGAACTTCATACGGGATAGAGAAGTTGGTAAACTGATGAATAGAATGTAAGTTAAAAATGTATGAAATATGATAACTCAGCATTTGGAAGTTTATATAAATAAGAATGAAGAACAATTCATTGGGAGTCACATAACTTGAAACCAGTCGAATAAGCTCTAGATTATACTACCTATATATATTTTAATAGGTAGATAGAAAGATACTCTTTAATGTTTCTTCCATAAGATTACAATAGTAAACTTAATATAAATACAAAAAGTTACAAGAAAATAATACACTGAGAAAACAATAGGCGGCCTTATCGCTAAGAGCGATCTCTTCCAAATAACCTTTGGATGGAAAAGAGTGATTTACATATGTTTTTCTAAATGATCGTAATAATGTGATTAAAGACTCAAAACTTTTTAGGTAAAGGAACAAATTTGATTTTAAATAGAATAACGTATAAAACAAGTTCATATCATATATCGTTCATATTTACTGTGTTACAAATTTGAAAAAGTGTTAAAAAAAAATTTATAAATCATATTTATTTAACTAAATAATTTTTTAGAAAGTCAAACCTGTACATTTTTTTTTATTTTATTTTATTTGACAAAAAACAGAAAGTTACAAAAACAAGATACAATGGACCCCACACTAGGCGAACCTGTATCGTGGGCACCCGACAAAGATTAACAAATCACAAATGTGTTGTAATAAAAAGTACATAGTGGGCGGGTATTAATATAAAAAGGAATATAAAATTGAAATAGTGAAAAAAGTAATAAAGTCAACAATATAGATACAGAAGCAATTATAAAACACTAATAATATCGTCACAATAAAAATACAAACATCGGTTTCTATCGGGATTACTGATCCAGCTAACAACCTTCCATTAGAAGAGCTGTTAGTCTGCCATTCTAATTTTCATAAATAAAATGTCATGTCAATTATAGATAACAATTACTTTCTATTAGATTAGGAGTTAGCTTGTTATTGCCAGTAATATAAAGAGAAGGTAACAAACTACATACACACAATACTCATGAAAAAGTTGACGACAAAAATAACCAATGAAAGATATAATCGTGCGTTTTACAAAATCGAACCAAGTCACGCGACGAGTAAATACGTCAGAGTTTCAGAATTGAAGGTCACAGCATAAATTTAAGCAAATGGCGTTGAGGTTTTCTGGTCCTAAAATTTTCGTGGATAAGGTCATGGGGTTCTGTCCTTTATAAAAGTGAGAGATTACGGAAAGTCGTAAAAAAGGGAATTTGTCAGCGACAAAATCGGGATTTAAAAGGGTGCGGTCCACTTCATCCCTTTTAGCCGATTGCCGAAGTATGGTAATGTTTTTCGGATCGGGGTAGATACAAGTATGCTTATATACCAAAACTGTTAAAAATATCACAAATTATAATGCACTTTACATAGTATTTGATTTGGAAAATGGAAGGATACGGGATAACTTTTATCTTGTTCTACTTTTTATTTCAATGTCTTATTGATCAATTAAAAAGACCGCTCACACAGACGAAGACACGGGTTTAACTAATAGTATAAATAAACAGATAAGCTGACAGACTCACATTCAAAGATGTATTTTTATTAAGGATCGTAAATCATGCGCTTATCAAAATCATTTTAATTATTACTTTGTTTTTCGGCAAATTTATGTGGATGTTATAAATGGTATTTTTATCAAATTGCAATATTTGTTTTATCAAAAATAACTCATATTTGTGCATTTCGGTCGCGTAAATTTCCATGCAACCGTGTAATCACTAATCTTTACAAATATTATTAGTGTGAATGTGAATTTGTATGTTTGTTGTGAGTCGCGACATTCGGTTTGGTATACATTTACCTAATGTTTGAAGTAGTGAAGGACATACGCTAGGTATTTTTTATCCCGGTCATCCAATATATCCCGGTTATTCGGACGAAGTGGTGGATAAATTTGGTTTTATAATATTATTCTAAAATGATTGATTAGCTTTCTGATCGCTACTTTGTACGGGTGTATTTTAGAAATAAGAAAGTAATGAATTAGTAATGTATCACCTTAACCCTTATAGAAAGTGGTAACCGTTGCCTATAGACATGAGCAGTACCATGGACATAACAGAGTATACTGCTTCGCTTATGATAACCCCAAATGTTGCTTAATTTGCTGTATACAGTTTTATCTAGCCTTGCAACTTGTCTTGATATATATAATCTTGGTGCTGTTTTCTTTTTTTTTTATAAATAAAAAGATAAATGAATAACACCTTAATTCTCAATCATGGCAAAGCAGGAGGGATTTTGTTTTGCAGTTTTGGGGCTTAATTAGGAATGTCGTCCTTGCTCTTGGTTACGGGTGATGGGAGCCTTTTCTAATGGATGCTCTGTTAATTGGTTCGCAATGCAGTCTTTAGAGGAGCATAGATTAGGCAGGAGGGATACCTTAGGAGTTCTCTTTTCTTTGATGGATGAAAATGGTATGGTATCTCCGCCTGCGCTAACGGGATACGTTGGCGGAGCACCAGTGAAGGGTGATAGATGAGAATGAAAACAGGTCAGTTAGCCTATCATGATGAATCCATCAGGAGTTAACCATGATAGTTTCCAGGGGGAACCGCGAGGAGGTCGACCTGGTTAATACCTTAGGAGTTACAATTTACGAGTATTCTGTTATGTCCATGGTGCTATTCATGTCTGTAAGCAACATGCTGCACTTTCTATCAGGTGGGCTAAGACATTCCAATTGTATAGTTAAACAAACTAATGTTTGTTTAACATTAAAAGTTGCACATAATAGTTAAACTAGTGAACGAAATTGTCCACGATGCAAACAACAACTGTTTACTTAAGATAATAATTTAGCTGAGCAAAGCCTATTTCACTAAAACGATTACATTGTAGAAGACTAAACATTCTTAGCGTCAGTTTATTAAATTTAAAACTACCTGTATCCTGTAGCTTTGCCTGCGTGAATCAGTATGTAAAAAACCTGTGTACTAAGGTTAGGATATAACCTACTCGTGTACTAAAATTCATTCAGATCCGTCCAGTAGTTTTTGTGTAAAATATTCATAAACATTCAACCATTCATCCATCTTTCCATCGATACTAACTTCCCTATTTACAATATTAATAGGATTCATGATACAAACTCCTAATTATGTTTTTTTTTTTTTATAATTAGCAATTTTTATTCACAGTTTGTTACAGAGATATTAAAATGTGAAAATTATTTTTAATAATGTTATAAATCGCCATAGTCGTAGAATACTGACAAATCTATATATGTGATATTTGTCAGATCCGTCAGTATTCTACGGTTATGACGAAATAATTATATTGT